GGCGAAGAGGGAGTGTCGCGGGGGCCCCACCAGGGATAGGGGTCATCCTAATCTGGTCACGCCCGGGGATCCCGGGGTCAGTCCGCACTGGGCCCGCATGGCGCCTTCGCCCTCACCCGCCGCAGGCCTGGGCGCCGCGAGCCCTTTCTCCGAGGCACCACTTTCTCTTGGGCTGTGGATGCCAGATGCCAGTCCTGCACTCGCTGGCGGGCCCTTCGGTGCGCCCCAGCCGTTTTCTCCATCCTGCAATTAAACTCGAGGTCAAATATCTCCTTAACGACGCTATCAGGCCAGCGGCTCATTATGGCGTATATTTAGCCATAAAATACGGGTTGTAGCGAGGAGGAGATGAAAATTATTGTGTTCTGGGAATGAATCCTTTTAGCAGAAACCAGAGCTGTTATTTACCACGGAGGACTAAGTACAGGCTCGGTCTTCCAGGCGACCCCGGCAGGACCAGCCGCACTTCCAGGCCCTTTCCGGCTTTGCCTGCGCCCCCGCCGCAAGCCTGGCACCCGGTGCACCACCAACCCGGCCGGAGGCGCCGCCTCTGCGCGCTGCTGCCTAGGAGCCGCGTCGCTGCTAAGGGAGCGCTGACAGCCCGGTGCTTGGCCTCCGACCGAGTCCAGAGCTCCCAGCCCACTCGCCTGTCTGCAGCGGGAAAGCCTCTGCCCGGGGTTGTCGGGAGAGGGCACAGCAGCCTGGCAAGCGGTGGAACAGTGTGGAGACTGATTGGACTCGGAGGATGACTCTGCTTCTGCTGAGTTGCCTCAGGGCAGTTACCCAACCTCTCTGCACCTATGTGGCCCATCCAAAAGGGAAGGAAGTCTCACTTGGCTCTGGGAGCCTAAGGAGAATCCGATCATTCATGTGAAGGTCGCAGTCCTGTGCCAGGTCAGGAGAAGTTCCACCCAAGATGGATGAAGGCAAAAGAAGAACAGAGACGTGGTTGGGGCTGTGGCCCCGCCTGGGTGAGGCCCTGGGTTGGATCCCCAGCGGAGGGAAGAAATGCAGGAGGATGTTGACAAAAACAACGTGTGGGGCTGCTGGAACGAATGGATGCGTGGGTGAGTGACGTCACCTGTGCAGGGCTGTGGGAGACTTGGAGTCCAGGGTTGGACGGCTCAGGCTTGCATGGGGCCAGACCCCCACCAGCTGTGCCCGCCAGCATGGGTAACTCATCTCCCTTGTCCAGACCCCAGGCTCTCCTCTGTGGGCACCACCTCACCCAGAATCACCAGGCTGAGCGGAGACTGCTGCTGGGACCCCAGGGCTCAGCTTAAGGTGCCCAACAGGACTCCACCCCCCTGCCCCTCCCCGACATCCTGGGTGTGGGGCACCCCCGTTGGAACCAGAAGCCTTGAGACACTCTGAGGATGCTAAGGCTCACCCTAGCAATGTGGGGGATCGGGTGGGTGGAAGAACCCCCAACGTTTGCCTCTCCGGAAGTGGCCGGTGACCCACAGCTGCAGATAGGTGGAAAAACCAAAGGAGGGAGTCCCCAGTCTAAATGTTTGCGAAGGTCTCCAGGGGGGCAGATTAATTGTGGGGCTAGTGGGTCTCCCTGGGTGGGGCAGGTGTGTCCTAGAGCCAGCCACCCCACTAGCCAGGGCCCAATATTCCTGGTTTCTGGGATGGGCAGGACAGCAGACCTCCCATCTCTGCCTCATGGACATCCTGCCCAGAGATGCGGGGGGCTTCTGGTGGATAGGCGTGGGCGGTGTTGGGGCAAGAACCTGCCCTCCAGCCCCCCTCCTATAACCTGCCCCCAGCAGCCAGGTGCCAGCACCCTCTCCCGGGAGCACCCCCCGCCTTCCTGGAGTGCTGCTTGTGTACTGCCGCCCATGACCCATCTGGAGACAGGCAGCCTGGGTGCTGGGCTCCTTCTGAACCCCCAAGAGGGGGAGATTGCACACTGTGGCCATTTTCAGGGTTGGTTGTTGGCAGCTCTGAGAGGGAGCCCTGGATGGCAGTGCTGTGTGACCTCAGGCAGGTCCCACCCCATCTCTGGGCCTGTTTACTCTCTGAGAACTGGAGGTTCTATAATAACTCTCTGAAGGCCAGGCCTTCTGCCTGCGACACTGATGGTGTGACCGTCCTTTTCAGTCCAAAGGGTGTGTCTCTCCATCACAGCCACTGCCGCCTTCACGACGCATGTGCCTGGGGCTTCTCAGCCATTTGGTCTTCACAACCCTTTGAGGCAGGCATTTTATTGTCCCCATTTTCAGATGGGGAAATTGAGGGTCAGAGAGGTAGACTAGCCAGCTTCGAGGCACAGGACTGCTTCCATCGGGTGGCGTCATCCTGTCAGCTCCCTGCAGCCATGAGTGACATCTGCGCCAGTTGGCGATTAGGGATCTGGGGGGGGGGCATTCTGAGGTGATTCTGGGATCCAGGCTGTCTGATAGCTCAGTGGCTGGGGAGGGACACAGAGACATGCAACAGGGCTCGTCACGTAGATGGCCACTTATCTTACTGTGCATGAAGCCAAGTTGCAAGATGCATTTTTTGTTGGTTATTTCATATGAGCGAGAGGTTTATTCCTGTAAAACCGCGTGCATTAAGAGCTTGGCTTGTGGGGCGGGAGCCTGAGGGTAAAGCAGGACAGGAAGTCCCAGGCAGCCGGGTGCCTGCAGGGCTGCAGGGTCCCCGAGGGCTGGCCAGGTGGACCCAGTGTCCCAGCTGGGACCTTCTGTGCCCCACTGCACGTGGTGGGCTCCCGGGCTGCTCTGGGGACTGTGCTGTGCTGGAGGGTCCCCTCCGAGATGACAGATGAGTCTGGCGTGAGACTCCTGGACGCACACAGCCTGTTACTCACAGCAGGAGAATCCACTGCCCCCAACTCTCACTTTGCTGGAAGCCGCTGCTCCAAGGAGGAGGCGAGAGGGCCAGCCCCCACCACAGGAGCTCCCCCTGTTCCCTTCTCGATGGTGCCCTGCTGGGTCAGGAGGACAGCTGTGCTTCTGAGGGTGGCCTCTGGCCTGCTCTGCTGGCCTTCCACGGGCTTCACAGCTGACCTCCAGGAGCCAATGCTGAGGACAAAGATGGTGGGGCTGACATTGGGCCACGGGGGCCCTCGTGACGGTGGCACCGAGCCTGTGGCTTACCCTGCGTGCCAGAGGCTGAGCCTCCTGTCCACCCCCTCAGTCAGTCCCCAGAGCAGTGCCATGAGGGAGACCTCAGATGAGGACACACGGCCAGGGAGGTGGCCACCTGCCCTGGGGCTCCCACTGCGAGCGGTGGAGCACCCAGCTCTGAGGAGGGTCTTGGGGGCCCTCGTCCTGACTCCCGGCCAGCTCTGGCACCAAACTCTGGACCTGGACTTGGGTACAGTCGTAAATAGAAGGGCCCCGGGGCCGGCTTGCCCTTCAGTACTCGGTTTGTCCACTGAGCGGGGGCGACCGTTGGGCCTCAGGGCACCTGGAGACCCCCGGAGGGGCCCACGGTGGTTTTCCTGAGGAGTGAGGCTCTTTCCTGCACTTTGGCTTGTGCGTCCGGGCATCCGTCCCTCATGAGGCTACTTTTCCAAACAGGATCTGTGAGGAGGTGACCCAATTCAGGGAGGGTCTTGGGTGCAGAGGGCTTGGTTGAGCAGCGGCCACCAGCACAGCCTGGCCGTCTTCCAAGGCTCAGGGGAATGGAGCTCCCGGACCTGCTGCTGAGGGACCCCGGGGGGGGGGGGGGGGGGGGGAGGGACCGGAGGTGGGGACACTATTTTCTTTGCTGTTGTATGTTTTATTTTTTCCATGATCCAGAAAAGAAGCTCTTTCTGGGGCTCCCAGGGACAGATGGTGCAGAGGGAGAGACAGGAAGCTCGCAGAGGTCATTGGTCAAAAGGGTGAATCCAGAAGGAACCACCCAGAAGAATGGGAAGGAATCCTAGGCATTCCCGGCCGGAAGGAAGCAGTGCGGTTTGTCTCCTCTCTCACTGCGCAGGGGCCAGTGGCTGTCCAGTCGGCACAGCCTGGCAGAGCACTCTGGGACTGGACTCCACAATTCACGTGGACGCCCGTCCTTGACGTGCCGGTTTTTTCTATTTAATATTTATTTTCCAGTTGTGGGTGGACACGATACCTTTATTTTATTAATTTTTATGTGGTGCTGAGGATGGAACCCAGGGCCTCGCTCGTGCTGGGCGATCGCTCTACGGCTGAGCCACACCTCAGCTTGGTTTTATCTTTTAAAAACCCTGACAGGTATCAGAGGAAAATAATTTAGTGCTTGTTGTTTACTGCAGTCAGCTGGGGCCGCCTTTCCCTGCACTTTTTTGCTGGTGCCTGTGGCTGTCCACCACGGCCACAATGTGACAATGTCATTTGGCCGTATCCCTCCCGTTACCTTTAGGGCTGTCTTAACAAAGGCCCTTTGTTAGGAGGTGACCCTAACAGGCAGCTTACCAACAGCAGATGGTTATTCTCCCGGTGCCGGGGGCTCGGGTGCCAGCGGGTTGCCAACGCCCTCAGAGCAGGAGGCCAGGTGCTCTCCGCGTCTCTTTGGTACCACTGATATCCCAGCAGAGACTCCCCCAAGACCGTACCTGGCCCTGGAGGTGGGGACACGTGGCAGTGAGGATTTCAAAGTACAAATGTTGGGGACCCAAGCAGTCCCTGGCCTTGCTCCATGAACTCTGGCGACAGACACACCTGGGCACTGCGCACCTGGATGAAAGGTGAGCAGGACAGTGCACACTCGGATACGGCAGGCTTCTGGATGCTTCCAGGGCTATGGCCAGGGCTTCTAGGGAGGTGCTGGTGTTTGGGATCTGCCAAAGTCTGGAGCCCACGGCGGTGCCCTGAGTAGTCACGCCTCTTCACCTAGGCACTGGCCACAGGGTCCACACCGCTCAGGTTTCCTGGTTCTGCCGTCCTCCCCAGGGCTGTGGACACCCCAGGACGGTCTTTGGGTGAATGTTGGAGATCGTTTTAGGCGTCTCTCAATGTGGAACAGAGGATCCTGAAATTGAGTGTTTAACGGAGAACCACCATTTCCTTCTTCCTCAGATTTCTCTGGATGGACAGACCCAGCCTGGGACCCTGGGCTGGAGGTGCTGAGTGGAGCGGCCACAGGGAAGACGGCCCCCTGAGCCCACTGAGGCGTGCGAGTGTCGATGCAGGAGGCTGCCCACCTGCAGGACAGCGGGGAGAAGTGTGCTGTGTGAGTGCCTCACCACGGGGCGCCCAGGCTGCACCCGGGGTGTCTGGGATCTGAGCCTAGACCATAGGGGCCCTCAGGGCAGTGAGGGAGCTGCGTGTGTGCAGAGGAAACTTGGGGGTCCTGTGTCCAGCACAAGATGCCCAGAGCAGCACCACCAGGTGGAAGCAGGACACGGAGCCAGGACAGGGCTGCAGCACAGGGACTGGGCTCTGGAGCCAAGTCCCAGCCCACAGTGGGACCCTGGGCCAGTTCCTTACACGGTCCAGAACAGGCATCGGAGAGGTGGGCTGGTATGAGTGGGCTGGTGGAACGTGGGCTGCCACCCGCCTTCCCGAGGTGCAGTCCCAGGAGGAGGGAGGGGCACAAGTAGGAGAAGTGCCGGTTGCCACAGTGTGGCAGCCACCGATGAATGGTCACTAACTCAAACCCAGGTGCATAGCAGAGACAGGTGGCCCTGTGTCCTGGGAAGAGCAGATTGGTTGTCGTCCCGCTTTTTTATCCAGTTTAGACAAAGATGGGCAAAAAAAAATCTAAAAAATAATGAGTTTTTCCAAACAACAGGGACAGACGCACACAGGCGGCCAGGTGGTGACACGCAGAGCCTGGAGGGCGCACCAGCCATCCCAGGAGCCCAGGAGCATGGTGACCCCCGGGAGCAGGAGGGTGGGGCGGAGGCTCCCTCCCAGCCTCAGAGGAAGCAGCCCTGCTGCCCCGTCAGCCCTGGCCTTCGGAACCCAGGGGAAATGGATTTCTGCTTCTCTAAGCCACCCAGTTAGTGACGATTTGTCATGGCAGCTCCTGGAAACTAATACAGGTTCACAGACCTGATTTTCCGTATGCCGATACAGACATGCATTTGTTAGGTAAAAGCCTGTGGGTAACGCTCAGTTCCTTCGACAGCGTTATCGTGATAAAATGAGCTCATTCATACATTTTATATGCCGATAAAGACAAAAGATCCAGGATACACAAGGTTCCTCTTGTTTCAATTATTTTATTCTTTTAAATGACAAACAATGTGGCAAGACAAACAGAAAAAAGAGTCTTCATGGAACAAATACCAGGGGATCCGTGCACCTCAGCGATCACCCTTCCAGGCCTGCGAACAGACGCTGCTCAGCAGCTACGTGTGCAGCGCCTCTGCATCTGTGCTTGGGGATCGCTCTTTGAGGACTGGGAGCAGAAAATGCCCCCTGGGCTGCCATGGAGATTCCTGCTGCCTGGCTCCTGGTGTGAGCCGATCCTGGGTGGCTTCGTCTCCCCAGGCCTCTGGGAGCCCAGTGCAGGCAGGTGACTCTGTCCTCCCGGATGCAGTTCCACCCCATAGATCTTCCCAGTCCCTTTTCTGTGGCTATTGCTGAATACCAGAGGCTGGGTGTAAAGATGTAATGATAAAGGTTTATAAAGATAATAGGTTTGCTCAGCTCGAAGTTTTAGAGTGTGAAGGTTCAAGATTGGGTGGCCCCTCGTGTTTGGCCTTTGGTGAGGGACCTTGGGATGTCACAACATGGTGGACGGCATCAAGCTGAGGGTGTGAGGCAAGGAGCCTGAGGGTGGGAGGGGCCAGTCTTGATCTTCTGTGAGTCCTTCCAAGGGCACGCCCAGTCACCTCACCAGCTTCTCCTAGGCCCCGCCTCCCGTGCCATCCTCTGAGACCCAGCCTCCGTGCCGTGGACCAGGAGGACAAGCCACATCAGCCTAGGAGGACCCGGTCTGTGTCAGGTCTTGGGAGCTCCAGCCAGACCTCCCGCCCTTCTGCAGGAGGCCAAGAGCACCTTGTCCCTGAGATGCAGCAGCGTCCCAGGACTTGTGCGAGGCCCGGGAGTACGTGGTCAGCACTTGCTTGGTCAGCACCACCTTACCCAGCCCCCACAGCTCTCGGAGACCTGCCTCCGTCACCAGGGGCTCCACCTGGCCCCTGCGGTGATCCTGGAGAGAACCCCCTGCCCTGGGGGAGCAGGACCGGGTGGACATCAGGTGCTCCTGCTCCTCGCAGAGCCTGGCCTGCTGGGCTCTGCCTCCGCCTGACCGCCAGCCCCGATCCCTCCTGCCATCTGTCGGGAAACAAAGACGGGAGGCCCAGTCAGACAGGGACTGTGGGGACGGAGGCTGCCCGCAGGCCAGCGAGGCTCCCCACGCTTGATGAGCTCCTCTGACCCAGCACCCCACGTCTCACTGCCAGAAGGAATGACAGGGGCACGAAGGCGGACACTCGGCTGGGAGGGACAGCAGCCTCAGGACCAGCCTCAGCTGGGGCCGGTGGCAGCGCGGCAGGTGGCACAGCAGAGGATGAGCAGGTGGGAATTTGGAACAGCGATGACCCCCACATGGCCCCAGCGGGTGTGGCCCGCTCAGGTCCTAGTGAAGGGACCTCTGGTTGCATTCTCAGAAGGCAGAGAGACAGAGACAGAGACAGATACAGAGCAGACGGGGAGACTGGCTCGTGCCGCCCTGAGGCTGGAAAGGGAGGGCAGCTGGGGAAATGCAGGCGGAGCTGGTGCTGGCCACTGGAGGGCTATCCTTCCCTAGGAGCCTCGGTTTGCTCTTAGGCCTTCGCCTGATGGGACAAGACCCACCCACACCATGAAGGTCCTCGGTGTCACTTGGCCAGCTGATTGCAGGGCTTAACAGTACCTACTTCTGCAGTGACACTTGGACCAGGGTTCAACTGAAGATCAGGACCCTGAATTCTGGCCACATGGACAATAAGCCTGACCAGGGCAGGGGCTGGCAGATGTACTCTGCCTGGCTGTGTCCCTCTTCCCTGCAGGCCAGCCTCTGGGGCTGGGCGTGTATCTGCCGCCAGGCCTGTCCACTTAGATTTTTGTGGCGGGACTGGCTGCACACCAGGGTCGTCATCAACAGGCTCATCTGGACTGTGCAGGTGACCAGGTGGCCTTTCTGCCCCTAGCATGTCTGTGTGAAGACGTGTCTAAGACGTGTGACCTAGAGCTGGCCCCTACCTGCAGCTGGTGGGTGGGGCCATCGCACACGTGCAGAGAGGACAACAACCTGCACTGAGCCACCCTCCACTGGTGACCCCGTGGCCACCCAGCGGGCTGCTTTGCAGATGAGGAAACCGAGGCCCCAGAGGTTAGGTATCGTGCCCAGGCTCATGCGGCTGGTAGGTGATGAGCCAGGATAGGAGCCAGACCCTCTGCCCTGCTCCCCGGAGCCCGTGGCACATCTGGGGTGTCCTGCATGCGCCTGTGCAGGAATCAGGCTGACAGCTGGGTCAGGACGCACAGCCAGGAGACTGGACCCCGGCACCAAATCCCCTGTGACAACTGGACACCTCATTCTACTCTTGGTGCTGCGTCTCCTTGTCCAGAGTAGGACACACCCCTCCATCTCCTTTCTCTGGAAAGTTGTGAGAATTTGTTTCTGTCGAATCGTTTGAAGAATCATGAAAAAAATTTTTCAAATGCCAGTTTTACAAAATAAAGGATTGGTCGTAGGTTTCCCTTTGGGGGGCCCTGAGACCACAGGAATCCCAGCGTTCCTGGGATATAGTGAATGGACCTGACTTCCCTGCTGACACGCGGTGGCTTCGCATTCCATGTTTGGTCACCATCAGAGGAGACCTGGGGCCTTCTAGAGATGGGCACGTGTGTCTCCAGGGCCCGGATTCGGGCCTTTCCGAGGAGCCCTGGGCTGACACTCCTGTAAGTGGTGTCTGCACACTTGAAGCGGCTCTGACAGCTGGTCTTGAGGGGCCGTAACTAGACACCCTGCAAACTGGAAGAGATTAGCTCTGACCACAGGGCACCCAGCAGACCGGCACTTAATAACCTTCCCAAATGTGTGAAGCACTTAGTTCTAGAATAACAGGAAGAACTGGACTGCGGCACGGCGGGCTTGAGATTCCTCCTGGCCATCCTCTTCCTCTGGCCAGCCAGCACGGTGACCACAGCCCCGTCCAGCTTCCCAGGGTCCCCCTCCTGGGGCGGCGCGTCCCAGGGAGATGACATGCAGGCTCTGTGTCCTGCACAATGACTCCCTGAGGCCAGTCTTCCTGAGGAAGCAGCCCAGGCTGCAGCCCAGGCCAGGGAAACGTGAGTCTCCACCAAATCCTCCGCGCCACGGAAACCGCTGCAAAATTGCTCCCTTCCTCCCCGCATGGCTGGGCCAGCGGCTCCGGGAGGCCTCCGACAAGAGGGCATTGTGTGGCTGGACCCCTCCCCTGCCACAAAGGGGGCCTTTCAGGGCTGCCAACGGGGCGGGTGGGGACCCCGAGGCCCCTTGGAGACGGCTCTGGGGCTCCGAGGCGCTCCTGGAACTCTTGGGGTGCTCCTTCTCGGCGCCGGGCTCCGCTCCTGCCAGAGGCCCGCGGGTTCGTGCAGGGAGAAGCGCTCGGCTGTTATGTGAACAGAGGGACAGAGAACGCTCGGATTTCTCTGTCGGGAGGTCATTTCCCCCGGAAGGTCCACATGGGGATGGTGGATTCATGGTGGGAGCCTCGTTCAGAAAGGGACGCAAGAGACTGGCCGTCCTGGTGGCCTCGGGGAGCTGGGAGTTTGGAGACAGCAGAGGAGGGAAAGAAACTGCGCGGCGTGTCCCCGCAGGCTTTGGAAGACGGACACGGGAACAGATATCTAATTTAAACATATCTTCATCCTGCCCAAGGCCAAGTGTATACCGTCTCAGAGAGGGAGGGCGTCCGGGAGGCAGGAGCCCAGCCGGCTGCTGGCGAGGCCCCGTGCCTGCTGGGAGATCTGCTGTCTGCAGAGTAGCCTCGCTGTGCCAGTAACCAAGGGACTGTGGGCTCCGGGGTTCAGTGACTTCAGCCGCCTGTGGTGACCACTACCCTCTTCGGATAGAAGTGCTGTTTCTTTTTCATGGACAAAATGGTTCTCAGACTGGAGGCCACATTCCCTCCTGCCTCCTGGGTGAGGCTGGCTGGGCTGAGGCTCATGGGGGCTGCTGCCCAGGGAGGCCAGATTTACAGCTGAGCTAGGGAGGAGGCCCAGGAGGAGGAGCAGCCCCAGGGACCTCCTGCCACCCTTGCCACCAAGGCGGGGTCACTGGCCTCTGTGCATGGGCAGGGAGGGTGTTGTTCTCCAAGGACACGGCACTCGCTGAAGCCAGTGTTTTATTGCTAGAAACAGGAGAGCCCGACCTTGATCCACCTCTGCCCCCGTTAAAACTAACCGAAATGTCCCCTGTGTCCGAGTGACCCCAAGCAGGAGGACTGAGCTGCAGACTTTCCACCAGGAGGCTGGGCAGCTGCGGAGTCTTCCAGTGTGATGGGCACAATCCGTTCTGCCTGTGAAGCCAAGAGGGGACAAACAGGTCTGTTGAGGGCCGCAGCCGAGTCGGGATGACGCATGGCATTTTTGACAGAAGTAGTGGTCGAGAGGTGACCCCAGGGAGCCATTAAGATGATGACTTTTGAGTTCTCGCGGAGTTCCCGTTGAGTTCCGGTTGAGCTCTCCCGGGGATTCCTGCAGAGTTCGCGTTGGTTGGTGAGGTTCCTGTGGGGGGAGTTCCGGTTGGTGTGTGGTGGTTGCTGGAGGAGTCGCGTGGGTGGCGTTCGGGAGAGTTCCCGGGGAGTGTGCTGGTGGAGTTTGGAAATAAAGTTTGTTCCTGCTTGAGTGGTTCGTGATTTGTGCCCAGCCAGACTGTGGCACAGGTCAGGTCCCCGGGACCTGGAACGGGGTCTGGAACACCTTCTCTATCATTAGGGAGAGCCTGAGTTGGGCACCGCGGCAGCAACCTGTCATCCCTGCGACTTGGTCTCAAGTTCAAGACCAGCCTCAGCAACTCAGCCCTACATAATTTAGAGAGACCCTGTTTCAAAATACAAAACAAAAAGGTCTGGGGATGTGGTCAGTGGTTAAGCTCCTGTGGGTTCAATTTCTGGTGCAAAAAAAAAAAGAAAGATTGACATAAACTTGAGAGCCGTTTTAAAGGGTTTTTAAAATGTTCCTTGAAACGGAACAGAAGAAGAAATACAATCAGTCAATAAATACTTGAAAAAATATTAAATATTAGTGACAATTAGAGAAAAGCAAATTAAAACTACACTGAACTAATTAGAGCAAATAAAAAAAAAAAACTAAACTGAGATTTCATCTCATTCCAGTCAGAATGGCAATTATCAAGAATACAAGCAACAATAAGTGTTGGTGAGGATGTGGGGAAAGGCACACTCACTCACTGCTGGTAGGATTGCAAATTGGTGCAACCACTCTGGAGATTCCCCAGAAAATTTGTCATGTCATCACCATATGACCCAGTGTCCCACTCCTGAGTATGGATCCAAAGGATTTAAAATTAGCATACTACAGTGACATGCCCTCACCAATGTTTATACCAGTTCAAGTCACAATAGCCAAGCTGTAGAACCAACCTAGATGCCCTTCGACAGATGAATGGATAAAGAAAATGTGGTGCATATACACAATGGAATATTACTCAGCCATAAAGAGAAATGAAATTATGGCATTTGCCAGTAAATGGATGGAACTGGAGACTATCATGTTAAGTGAAATAAGCCAATCCCCCAAAACAAAGGCAGAATGTTCTCTTCAATATTCGGATGCTGACTCACAATAGGCAGGGGGAAGGGCAGAGGGGGAGGTTCACTGGATCAGACAGGGGGGATGTGGGGAAGGGAGGGAGATGGGAATGGGAAAGACAGTTGAATGAACTGGTCACAACTTTCCTGAGTTCACTTATGAATACACGACCAGTGGAATTCCACATCACGGACAACCACAAGGATGGGCAGCTAGCCAGGCGTGGTGGCCCACGCCTGTAATCCCAGCAGCTCGGGAGGCTGAGGCAGGAGGATCACAAGTTCAAAGCCAGTCTCAGCAGAAACCAGGTGCTGAGCAACTCAGTGAGGCCCCATCTCTAAATAAAATACACAATAGGGCTGGGGGTGGCTCAGTGGCCGAGGGCCCCCGAGTTCAATCCCCAGGACCCACATCCCCAAAGAACGGGAAGTTATACTCCATGTACGTAAAATATGCCCAACTACACTCTACCGACCTGTATAACTAAAAGGAACAAATAAAAGACACCTGTTCCTTATTTCCCATTTTTTCTCCCATTATGGCCCGTGGTCCTCCTGTCCCCCTCCTCTCGATGCCTTCGGCTGTGGCCGCCTTAGTGGCCTTAGTGTCCAGGTTCCTGTTCTACCCCAGATGTCAGGCTGCTGATTTCTAACTGAACTCCTTCGAGACAGAGGATGTAGCCTGCCTGGCCCGCCCAGCTGTGAATGGCGGTTTGTCCCAGCAGGCCTGTCTGGGCGAGTTTCACGTGGATGCGAGAAGAACAGTGTCCTACAGGAGCCGGGGAGTAGTCCCCCACGCCCCTCGGGTCGAGGTGCTGTTCAGGTCCTGGGTCTGCGTCTTTGCCAACTGGTTCTGGGACTACTGAGGGTGGGCTTTACCTCCTGCAGTGATGGCTGGGGACTTCGCTGGTCTCCTTTTTTTAATCACGAAGCTAGGCTCACGGTACTTTGAAGCTGTTTTGAGGGGCGCGTCTCCCTGTTTTCCTAGTTCTCGTGGACAGGGGTTGAGTGTGCCTTGTCCACACTGCGTGGGATCAGAAGGCTGGGTCCCTGACTTTTTCAGGTTTTGCATCCTGAGACGTCGTCTGCACACACACTCCCACCTCTGAGTCCCATCTGCTCTATCCTTGGCGCCTCCTGCTCCTTCCCCTTCTAGATAACTGCTTTCATTCTTCCAGAGTTTCTTTATGTTTGTTACATAAGGTGCAAACCTATACTGTTGAATACATGTGCTAATACGTCTCTGAAAGCAATGTGAGCGTGCAACATAAGCTCTTTTGCAGTTTGACTTTGCCATCAGCCATGGGTCTCCGGGTTCCTCTCTGTCAGTGCACCAGCAGCCTCTGAGTCTTTATGACAGCAGCATAGTATTCCACCATGGCTGATTTGGCCAAGCCCCAGTGCTGGACCTTAGGCTGGTCACACATATTGGCTGTGACACACAGCGCCCCCTCCCCTTTGCCCACTCCCCAAGCACAGCCCAGGAACAAGCGAGAAGGGAGGCCTGCTCTGTTTCAGGTAATAAGAAGAAACAGTAAAAAACGCCACTTCCTGTTTTCCCCCTTTTATATCACATGTCTTGCCTCTGGGGGGCTTAGTGCTCCATGCTCGGTGCTCGGTGCTCAGCGCTTAGTGCTCCCACACGGCTGCACACAGTAACCCCAGGGGAATGCACGTGAGGAGCCCTTGCACACGAAGGCTTGGGCAGTGGGCTTCAGTGGTGGCTGCTGCTGGGCGGCTCCGCAGGCTGGTGACAGGAGCCAGGGCACCTGGGCTGGCGGACCCTGCTCTGCTGCCCACGGGCCGCACAGCTTCGTGATCGAAGCACTTCCAGGAAGGCGCTCATCCAGGGCCAGCTGCTCCTGAAAGCGTTTTCTTAATGTGAAGTTGGTCCCGGCATTTCCCCCAGTGCGTTTCTGAGGCACAGAGAGGTTAAGGGACTGCCCCAGCTCACACACTTCAGTGGTGCTGGTCTTCAGTCCCAGCCACCTGGCCCCAGGCGGCACGGAGGCGTCAAGCATGCAGACAAGGACCTGGCACAGAGTAGGTGCTCACTGAATGCGGGTTCCTGTCCTCAGGACTTGTTGAGGAGGTGGGGTACAGCTAGCCCAGCCCAGGTGGACAGGAGGGGGAGCCTAGAAGTACCACGTTTGAGGAGGTCCCTGGGAGAGAAGGGGCGGGGAGGGGCCAAGCCCGAGGAGCTCTGGGATGGGCCCGTGAGGACTCTGTGGACATGCAGTGCCGAGGATTCCGAGTCCCCCGGCTTCTCTTTGCAGCAGACAGAGAAGCACAGAAGTTACAAGCTTTTTTTTTTTTTTTTTGGCAGAGGAAAAAACACAAACCGCCCAACCACAAAATTCTCGAGAATATTGCTAAGCACTAATTTTGCTAACATGTTAGACGGCCTCAGATCTAGGCAATCTTGTTCCTTGGCTGGAAACGGTTCCCGAGAGCCACGTGATCTCAGATCCACCCTGGGCCTGTGGGGATGATGAGAGAATCAGCTCTGGCCTTCCCTGCCTTCCACCCCATGCTCCCGCCCCGGCCCACCCAGTGGGTGCCCCAGCCCTGCCCTCCCACACTCCACCCAGACCTGGACTTCACGCTCCTCCCGGATCCTCAGACCCGCCCACGGCTCAGGTCAGCCACAGCTCAGAAGCCAGTGGCCGGGAGGAGTTGGAGGCTCCCCATTGGCCCAGACTCTCCATGGCTCAAGGTCAGCGTCTTGACCCCAGGGGGCAAATAACGAGGCAAATAGGATAACTTCACTGCTAAGAAGTTAATGAATCACAAATGCTATTGCAATGGTTTTCTTTGAAAGGAATACACATAACCAAACCGATTTTAATTAAAGATCTTGTCTTTGTAATCAGGCAGCCTCAAGTGGAGGCGAGGCCGCTTTTCATGTGGCACAATACACACAGAGCCAATGAGCTTGCCCATAAAAGGGCAGGTTTTTTTTTCTTTTTCCAAATAAGAAAATAGTTTTTTCCCAACAATACGGGGGTGCGACTCTATGCTCTGCAAAGTATAAACTGGGGACCCTCCCAAGGAAGCCGGTCGTCGACGTGAAGCAATCCCTACAGCGGCCAATCTGCGGGCCAGCTAGGGCGTCCCCCATGAGATCAGACACGTGGTGCTGATTTTTAAGTGAAAGGCGCTGCTGAAAACCAACCGTACCTGCGGGGACGTGCGCAGCCCCGTGGCTGGAAGTGACTGTGACGCGCCGCGGTGTTTCTGGGGAAGGATCAACCTGAACGACAAAGCAGTGTTGAGTTTTCAGTGTTGACACCACACAGGACCAAAGTCCCCCCCAGGACATCCTGTGGGGCAGCGGGGATCGCTGTGCTCGGTCACACCGACCCAGGAGAGGAAGGCGCGTCCTGCAGGTGCGCCCACCCTGTGGCGCTGGCCAGGTCTTTGGACGTGGCTGGCTACCCTCTATTTGGGGTCTTCTTGGCACCCCCAGGGCAGGGAGCCCAAAGGGTGCTGTAGTGGGTGAACCCGAGGTGGCCAGGGCTGCAGGATCCTGTCCACTCTCAGGAGCTTTCCAAAGCATCTTCTGTGACGGGTCTCTCAGGGGAACGCTGAACTTTGTCATCTGAGAACCAGAGCCCACGCTGGGAAGAGACGAGACCAGGAGAGTCCCAGAGGCCAGTCTGTCCTGTTCTGCTGAATGACAGACTCTTGCTTCGGGGGCAGCAGGACACACTCCAGAGACTCCCATCTCTAGGTGGGACATGACGTGTCCTTGAGGGGGGCTCAGGTTTGGGTATGAGCCTAGAAGAATCAGCTCCCAGTGCCCTTCTGTTCCCAGAGGGCAGGAGACCAGCCTGGTGGTGACATCCTCCCTGCACCATCTGCCCCATGTCTTACGTTCTAAATGCATTTTTAGAGTTTTGGTACCAGGATTGAACCCTGGGATGTTTAACCCCTGAGCCATATCCCTTTTTTTTTTTTAATTTTGAGACAGGTTCTCACTGAGTTGCTTAAGGCTTTGCTAAGTTGCTGAAGCTGGCTTTGAACTTGTGATCCTCCTGCCTCAGCCTCCCATGCTGCTGGGATCACAGGCTG